GTGAGACTACGCTGTAATTAAAATAGCACTTCTTGAGTCTTTTCAGTCTACATGCATTTTACAACAAACATATAACCTGGCACTTTAAAAGTGAACTGTGGCAACAGCTTTCATAGGCAAGAGTGATCACGCTCAATCTATTGCAGGGAAGTATTCCCCACAATAAATCTGTTCCATTTTCAGATGTTGCAACAGTCTGTGTAGCACAGGGGTGTCCAACCTTTCACCTTCCATGGGCCACATTAAGATGAAAATTTGGTTTGGGCCGCACATAAAATAAAATAACAGTAACGATACCTGCTCATCAAAAAAAAAAAAACCTACAGAAAACATTGTTAACATATTAAACTTACTTGCTACTGTTTAGTGTTTATATTGTCAGGTTCGGCTTTGTGCTGTATTTATCGCAAACCACCCAGGGTAGGCGGGAGCACAATAAATAAATAAACTTATTTATTTCTGGGATGGAAAAAAGAACTAGGGAGGGACGACAACGCCCAGAAACACTCTCTCTCTCTCTCTCTCTCTCTCTCTCTCTCTCTCTCTCTCTCACACACACACACACACACACACACACACCCCACAGCAGCTGCTGGGGAACTTGGGAGTTGTAATCCCACCACATCAACTTTCTCAGCTTCTGCTTGGGGATCACACCAACAGCAACTCAACCAAACTAAGGATGATGATTTTGGTAAGGGAGGGGGGAGGTTTCCTCAATCTTTGAGGAGGTGCTCTCCAACGCCTCCTTCCTTGCCAAAGGTCCCCCCTCCAAATGGTGCTTTTTCGATAGCCTCCCTCCTGGGTCGATGCTGCCTCCCCTTGCCAGGAACTACAACTCCCAGCATCTTAAAAAATAAAAAATTGCACTGGGGCACATTACGAGCCAACCTGGGCCGCATGGAGCCCGTGGGCCGCGGGTTGGACAAGCCTGCTGTAGCACCTTCTAGAACTTGATAAGTATCAGGTGCTCTAGACCAGTTGTTCACAACCTTGGGCAACCCTGCAACTCTTAGAAACCCCAGACAGCACAACTAGTGGTAAAGGATTCTGGGAACTCCAGTCCAAGAGCACCTGGTTTACCCAAAAGTGGGAACCACTGCTATAGAGTACTGTAGATTGCTCTGAAAGGTAACAGTGTATTAAGTGGAGTTTCTCAAAGAAGGGTACATGTTTAAGAAGAATATCAGGGGAAAGTAATCCGCAAGTTTACAACTCACAGCAAGAAGAGGTGGGAGGTTGTTCTTCAGCTTACTGCCATGCTTAGACTAACAAGCAAAAACTAACACTTTATTTCTTTTAGGTCCATAATTGGATGTGAACACCCTAAGACAGACTGCAAGGGAGTCTTCATCTTCTCAGTAGAAGATTGTCACTGAAATAGCCACTGTGGGATAACAACCTCTAAGTCTTATGTGTCTGAACAGCCAACGTAAGACCTGGCTCTTCAGACAGGCCTTCCTTCCTGTCGATACCTAACTTATTTTGCCAACTTCTAGTGTATTAATATTGTTATTTTTTATTTTAATGTTGTTAGCCGCTCAGAGTAGACTTTGGTCTAAATGAGCAGGATATAAATTAAATTAATAAATTAATAAATAAATTAACAAAGAGACGAGAGTTGATTTTGTTCCTGTTGACTAATTAATTGTGTTTGCTTGTATGTTCAATCACTGAATTCAAACATGAAACATAAACTGAGTCCTAGTTTAGTTATTAACCAAGTCTGAGAATAAACTATGGTCAGAGGTGGAAAATGTTACTTTTTTAGACTACAGTTCCCTCACTGGTAGGGGGATTCAGGCAGCTATGGTCCAAAAAGAGTAATATTTACAAACACTATGTATTCCTTTGCAGGTTTCTGTCTTGGCTCCCTTTCTAGCCACTCTGCCATCCCTTTCTCCACTTATCTACAAAAGATAGGGTCCACAGTGGCTCGGAGATTCTGGGAGTTGAAGTTCAAAAATGGTAATGTCCCAAAGTCTGTTTCCAATGTTTGGCTATGGTTTCCAAACTTTGGTTTGGACCGGAAACATCTTCTCTCCTTTATTCATGAAGAAGTAAGGAAGGGAGAATGAGCCTGAAGACCATTGTCTCCTCATATTCAGAATGATAAATATAGTTTCTCATACCCAAATTGGGCCAGTTACTAATATTTAACTTAACCAATAGTTATTATTATGTGCCCTCAAATTAATTCTGACCTGGGGCAACTGACCTAAGGTTCGGATGTATATACTACTCAGAAGTGCTCTCTCAGTCCCTTATTTTGGTTGTTCTCTATGACCATGCAGTTTGTTCAAGGCCATACAAACAGCAGCGGTTGCAACTCAATCAGCCGCACATTTTCCAGGTATTCTCAACTGGCCCAATCCCAATGGAGATTCCAGAGCAGCACTGGGAAAAAACTATTCTTTAATATCTTACATAACTTGAAAACCCAGTTATGGACACCATATATTGGAAGCAAAACACACACTAAAACAGTTGTTAATATTCTGATATTTTAAAAATACAGGAATAAAATAAGACTTCCTGTTAGATCAGTGGTCCATCTAGTTCAAGTGACAAAGCTGCAACTGGGGCTGGTTGACTCAGACTCTGATCCAGGGTACCAAAATATAGAGGCCACAAAAATGTGCTGCATGAATCTGCCCACTGGTATCTGCTGATGGAAAAGTGTGAACCCATTAACACAGAGCTTGTTAAGTGCACTGCCTCCTGCTGCTCCTCCCTGGGCAGAAGGAAACAGGCTCACCATAGAATCAATATGATCCTCATACATCCAGACCCCGACATTCCTTCTTATTCCTCCACCCTCTTCTTGCATATACCAGTCTTACATTATACCAGCTTAACCAATGGAGCAGCAAAGCCCCAAAAACTGTTAGTTACAACTCTCTTGACGAGCCACATCTTGCCAAAAATGTCAGGCAGGATTCTTTCCTAACATTACCTGGAGATCCCCAATATTCCTTGGTAGTTCAGTAGAACTAACCAGGACTGGTCTTGCCTGGCTTTCAGTATTAGATGATGCAGGCGTGGTATTTGTCGTTGTTGCTGTTGTTTAGTCGTGTCCCACTCTTCATGGTATAGCGGTCAGCATATTGGGGGTGGGATGGGGGAAGAGCAATCAGCTTTACTGAAGCTGTTAACGATACTACACAGCATCAAGGGAGTTTTGTCACTGAACACCTCCTGCTCAGACCTTTCCTTAGAAAGAAAAATCTGTGAACTAGTCCCAAACACATAAAAGGGAACAAAGATATGAAAACTATCAACAGGCTAGAACACCTCCTGCCCATTTTAAAAAGAATGAGAGCTGTTCTTGCAGAAAATCTGCAGTGTGCTTTTGGGGGAACAGCTAGGGTCTAGACAAAGAAGAGAATGTGGATTGCAAAGAATGCACTTTTTAACAGCTACTATACCCAAGCACATAATTACCATTGCAAATTTTGGGACTTTTCAGCATGAAATGATGGTTGCCTTTAAGCTCAAGATGGAATGGCACTTTTGTATAAGCAACTCCCAGAGATTTTTTTTAATTGTTAATGTCGCACGATCATTTAAATCAGCCACTGAACACAATATTTCTAAAATGAGTAACTATCTTGACAGTTGGGCTTTCTGATAATCTAATGAAATGGCATAAGGAAATCTGAAGCACCCACAGCAGCAGCATGGCTTAATTAAGCTATAAAAATACATTTTGTCTGCCATTGAAATTATTCAGGTTGACAAAGTGCCATGTCTGCAGATACAATTCAGAATCTTCTTAATTTGTAGTGATAATATCAGATAATCTGTTTTCCCAATACTGGCTGACAAGCAGAGGTAACAGTTCAAAACATCTTTGATTGAACTGTGGATGAGGTTCTTCACTGGCTCAATTGCACTGAATTCTAATGTCAGATTCTATGGCCACCATGACTGTACAGTTGGGGTAAGCAACTGTGGCTGTCCAGATGTGTTAACCATATCTCCCATAATCCCTCACTAGTGGAGTTGCAGAAAAGAACATCTGGACAATTGCTCTCAACTGCTGCAGCACCAACCAAGGAGGTTCTCTCACCAAAGTTATTGCTTCATTACCTACCTAGCCGCCTAGAGTGGTCCTCACCGACCAGATAGGCGGGGTATAAATTAAATCATCATCATCATCATCAACATCATCATCATCATCATCATCATCATCATCATCATCATCCAATGCTAAGGGTTGCTATCTATAGTCTAATATCACCAAAACAAAAGGAAAGACGTTTGAAAAGAAATAGTTGGAAATCGGAAGAAAAAGCAGGTGTTCTAAGATTGCTCAGAGTAGCCCAGCAGAGTACTCTGTCTGGAGCATTCAGAAATACCCTGGAAGCCCAATTACAGCAGATCAGTCTTTTCCTGCAGGTATAAACCAAGCTATCTACAATCTAACAGTCTTTAGATTGAAACTGGGAACTTTCACAAGATTTGCTTTATGAATGTTTACAGAGATGGTAACCTATAATTATGGAGTCAGCTTGTGGAAGGTGTGTATTTTTACAAAGTAAAATGAAACTTTTCCTCTCTCTTTCTCTCTCTCTCTCTCCCCTTCACCCCTACATCTCCTTGGAAATACAGGGATCACGTCTTTCATTCTTGTTAAATCAAACTTTTTAAAACAAGACATTCAAAAAACATGTGCTCTTTCTGCTATTGCTTAGCAAAGCTGCATAAACACTGAAAAAGTACCTTTCTTCAAGCTACATTTTGTTAGAAAAATAGGGAGAAAATGACGTATTCTCTGTCCCCAACTGTGTTTCCTCTCCAGCAGAAAGAGCCATGCAGGTTATAATTCAAATGGCACGCTGCCAATACCACAACACAAGTATCTTCGCTCGTGTGCACACATACACACACATACACATAGATGCGTACACAGTGCCCTGTTTGCAAACAGAGCTACATAAACTATATTCAACCAGAGATTTATCAAAGATCTTTAAAAAATCAAAGTAGCTGCTTACCATTCAACTGTAGCACAGACATATTCTCTGGTCTCACTTCACAGAGCACTCCGATCCAGCAACAAAAATGAGGAAGCATGAGTGAGCCTTTCATTCCGCTTCTGGCTCAGAATGTGGGTGTAACTTGTTCAGTTTCATGCTAAGTGGAGATGGGTCATTTGGGTGTGTTTGTCAGATTCTCTCTTTTCCCCCTCCTCCTCCTCCCTCCTCCTCTACTCTAAAGCTCATTTTTGCTTTTCCCCTGCCCCCCTCAAGAAGCAGGCTTCCTGAAGTCTCAAATGCCTAGAACACCAGCTCAGCAGGGGCTTTTCAATTACCCAACCTGAAACAACAGCAGGTTTGACCAGTCACTGAAAAATACAGCAGCCCAAGAGAAAAGCTAAAGATCTGAAATCGCCCTTCAGCCACTTTAGCACATGTGCTCCAGAAGCAACAGGCTGAAGCCGAATACTGTAATCACCAGGAAAAGTCAAAGAAAAAAGGAAATGGATTGTGCCGGCCTGAAGAAAGCTTGACTTGAGGTTGGGAGCTCCCTGCCAAGTCACTGTAAAATAAACGATGCTCTTTCCTCCCAGGTTCGACCCAGAATCCTTTCTTTGGCTTCTGAGGGACCATGAGGACAGATATACTAAGATAAGCTTGAATTTGTGAGAGGCTAATGAGAAAGATGCAAGGCTCAAAACTGAGACTGTTTCCCCTGCTATCCGTAAAATACATTGTATGTACACACACACACACAAAAATCAGCTCTTATGCTTTAAGTCAGCTGCACTCCCTCCCACATACCATTCTTGTTCTCCAACACATAGTAGAGTGAACCAGAGCCATCACTCCATCCCTTTTCACCTAGCCTTACAAACATCCTAAACAGTAAACACTGATATGCTTCTCTCTACCGAGAGTGAGGGGGAAGAAAAGTGATTCCATTTTTTAACATCCAAAGAGACATAGATAAGAAACATAAGTCACTTGGGCTTCCTGTGCCTACTCTTACTCTTCCCACATCTTGCATAACATTCTGTCTTGGGCAATGTACTTCTTCCCCATTACAGCTATAAATATTAAAAATCTCTGGTCTAAATCATCCTTCCTCACCCTGATGCCCTCCAGTTATGTTGGATAACAAATGCCAAAAATTCTCAGCCACCATAGCTCGAGAAAGGCTGTTTTAGGTTGACCTAGACATTTATTTCTGCCAGCTGTGGCTCAAAGAATATTTACAATGCATAAAAATTACACTGGTGCACATGATTCCATTCAGCACTCCCGAACGAAAGATCCTACAAAGGCCATTCCTGCCCAGAATATAGCATTTTGTGTTGTGTTTTCTCAGCCATGCAGAAAATAACTCCACACAGCTTTAGAAGCAAGTCCAGTGTTACAGACGTGAGACTGACTGGACCAACTTCATGCCTCCCAGAGGAAAACTAGAGGAACTTTACAACTAATTAATGATACCCTTAATGAATACAGAGAAACAAACCTATGCAGACAAAACTCAGGAGTTGAAACCGGGGGTCTTCCATCTACCAACCCAAACTCGCAAAGTAAACATTCTTGGGCTTTCCACTGTTTGGAGATATTAACCAGATATCTCTATTTTACTAAAAGTAACAAATGTAACATTGCTGCCAGATGACCTAATACTTTATGTAGGGTGCAAAGAGAAAAAACAGCTGGCAGGGGAATTCCCCCATCTAATAATACTCTTGATCATCTGTAGTTGATCTTTGCATTTCTGGTATTACAAAGGTTTGTCCTCATACACAATTATTTGATTTTCAAGTCCATGGCATTGCCATGTACAGCCACAAGGCAGCATGGTACACCAACATATTAAAGGCTGACTTAAAGATCCTACTCCTGAGACCCTACGGTCCCCAAAGGAATCTCCTTCTCTACAAGACACATCAATGCCTACTTTACAAGCTGTTTTCACAACAAGGAAATCTTTAAGAAGTTCTATTGGAATTTCAACAACTCTCACACCAGAATCAAACTAAGCCTGGAGTAGTATGTGCTACAGATTGATTTCTTAGAACTCTGCAATGAATGTATAATTGTCATTGTGCATCATCATCATCATCATCATCATCATCATCATCATCATCATCATCATCATCATCATCATCATCATATTGGGAACAATATCAATAAATTTCGCACAGTAATATGAGCAGCGGCAGATCTCATAAATCATACTATTGGAGCTACAAAAATGGTAATAATAGGACTAGCACACATACTGTGCCGATATTCAACAGATACTTAGGTTTTTGGTTAAAACTTATATCTGTTATATAATACCAATCTATGTTCTTTTATAATTTTGATTGCACCTGGTGTTTTTGAATAATAATAATACTTATTAGCCTCATTGTCCCCTAAGCAGAGATACTCTAGCTACCATCCAAAACATATCACACAATTCAACAATCTAGAATCTGCAATCGGTCAAGGCCACGCCACAGTAAAATGTATTGCAGAGGCAAGGAAAAAAGAGAAACGTAAAAATTGGCAAAACCAATCACTTTGACAAGATGATTGGTTGGTTCCATACAATGTATGAAGTCCGTGGTTACATAGGGGTTTGAATCTACAGTAGGTTTCATGTGTGGTATGAAGACAACATGCATATGCGTGTAATATGTACGCAATCATATTGCATTTATACAGATTTATAATGAAAAGGTGGTGCTGTCTGACAACAACTGTTGTAACCAAAAGCAACATAAACCACAAATGTACTACATGTGGTTAAGCCATTTATAATGAAAAGGTGGTGCTGTCTGACCAACAACTCCTGTTGTAACCAAAAGCAACATAAACTACAAATGTACTACATGTGGTTAAGCTGTTGTGACTTCTGAACATGGCACTCCATGTTGTTTTTTTACAACAGGATAGAGAAATAAAACATAACAATGAATAATCTCTCTGGCTTGCTGGGGGAGAAACAAGACAGAGTGCCAGGTTTAGGGTGCCATGATATGCAAAACACAGAAACAAATGTCAGTGGTTTATTTAAATGCTTCCACTTTTAGCTTGCCACTTGAAACTGTGTTTGAAACTGTGATGGCTCCTCTGTGTGGAAAGCTGCTGCCTGTACTGTCCCATCTTCTAGCTCTTCATACACTGAGAGGTTTATTCCCATACCATTATCAAATAATTGTGCCAGAATCTACAACACTTTGAGAAAAGCCAGTCACACCTACAGATAATGGGCTGATTCAACTTTTAAGCTCACTTAATCACACATACAATGATGTGTTCAAAATAAATTACACAAAATCTTGGTATTCAAACTTCAGAAGGAGAATTATATTGTAAATATCACTGAGATTTCATTATTCAATAAAGATCTTACAGCTGTCTTGGCCTCTTAAAAATCCCTCTGCCTGCCCTGAGAAAAGTTTGAACCTGAAACACAGAATGGTATCCTAAACTTGTGTCATTCCTACATTAGTGTTCTTTTTACTCATGTGAGACCCCTGAACACCAAACAGTTACAATTAAATCTATGCCCATGACTTACTCATTCAACATAAGAAATCTCAGGAGAAAGACAGCAAAGGGAACAAAACTAAATGTGAAGTATTAGTAATTAAGACATCACATTATTATCCCATTTCTGAAGCAACCATCTGAAATTACTGTATTCCGAGATATTTTCTTTGGGCTGAATTGGTTGTAGGCTTCCACACAGGTAGCTATGTCATTCTACTATATTAAAAGTAATAGTCAGGCTTTTGAAGATGAGATTATCTACAATTATTAGCTTGTGAGTTCTTCATCTTTCACTGTTGGAAGCAGATGCAAAAAATTTCATAAGATCACAGTGAGGCATAAAATGTATTTTATGAGCTGTACGAAAGCAAGGAGCTTTCCACTTCTGAACTTCACCCAGGAAAGCACACCATGGCACTCCCCTTTACAAGTGACTTGCCTCCGCTGACTTTGACTAAACCTCTCCTCCTTCTGATGTCAGGAACTTATCTCTAACCCCATAACTGCCTTCTCCTCTCTCTTTTATATACTCACTAGCTGAGGGCAACCCCAGCAAAGAGAACCCCCACCCCCAGAAAGTCAGCCGTGCTGCCATTTAGGTACATGGAAGAGTAGTTATAATGGCAAAGAATGAAGCAAAACCCTAAGCAAAACCATCACAGGGTACTTGCAACTTCCAGCCTCTTGAGGGTTTAATCAAAGGACCATTTTATTTATTTAAAACTAATAGCCACTTTAACCCAAAGGCTTGGAGACTAAAACCATAAACATTTCTACTTAAGAAACTGATATGTTAAATACCCACTCTAAACCCCATTATAACATCTAATACATCATACTACCCAACATGTGTAACCCTGGTTCCCAGAAGCCAAACATAATACAAATGCTTTACAAAGACAATTAAGGGAAGGTAATTTATTGGTACTAGTCATACTATAAAGTGCCAATGGTTAAAAGCATACTCCTGAGTTCTTAGCCATTGGGGCACTTTGAATGTTTACAGGCTCACAAGCACTGTGGACACTGCAGTTGCATATTAAAGTCATACCTGTTCAAAATCAGAAGCTAACATCCAGCAGTTAATGGTAGATGGAAACATACATATAAGTAATTATGTATTTAGCCCTAAAGGAGAAATACTCCCACCAACTGAAACCAGCTATAAACAAATGACCTCAATATTAAATGTCTGTCAGATTTTAAAGATAAGAACGGAGAGGCACCTTTTTTCTGTCAGCTGTCTCTTCATTTGCATTCTTTCACAACAATTTGCAACACAGCATTCAACTTGCTTCCATTTCATAACAGTTATTGGAATCGCGCATAACAAAGGGAGTCAGATCACCTTAGCCTTTGGCTCACTTTTTAATTAGCAGAGAATGAAAACATGGCGAATTTAACCTTTCTGCTTCGGAAGAGTGAGAAGTGCACCAGAAATGGAGTGGCAGGATGGGGAATCAACAGATGTATGGAAAGTCATAGCAAAGCTACCAACCCATAATACACCCAGGATGCATTTTGTGCTGATTCAGAGCTTGCCTGGCCTTGGTTATTAAGTGCAAGAGTCCATTTTTCTG